AGCAGAAGCAGAAGCAGAAGCAGCTGCTGCTGCCATCTAGTAAAGTTGGTTGGACCCTATGTTCAAACTGGGGTTTGGTCCATCAGGCACCACATAGTTCAAGCTAGTATCTACATTCACTTTTTCTTTCCCACCTTGTACACCAAGCATTTTCCTCGTCCCAGTGCTCAGGCCCTGGGAAATATTAGCAAACAAATGAGCACGTAGGGAGAGGGCAAGCCTCAATCCCAGTCTCCATCGCCAGCCAACATGGTCATCTATCACCGCTACATTCAATCACCTGGTTTCCGGACACAGCTTCCTTCCTTTGCCCAGTCTTGGGCCACTCAGTAGAAAGCAAACCCACTGCAGATCTACTCTATGACCACCAGAGGGTCCCACAGCATTGACTAGAAAGCAGGGCTTTCTCCGCGAGTCTCAGGTCTTAGGTCTTTGCCAGAGCGCCCAACCTCCAGCCAGTAGGATCGCCTGGGGGTAGAACTTGCTGCTGCCAACTCTGTTGAAACCTTTATTCACACCAAGCAGCCGGCATTTCACAAGAGGACAGAGCTGAATTTCTGTGTGTCTGCACCCTCCCCAGCTACATTCCAGGATTAGCAATGAACAAAAAGACTATCTGTGGTTTAAGTAACCGTTTCTCTTTGGTACAAGCTCCACCAGCACCCTCAATTTCTGTCCCGGGCACCATTTGCCCTCCCTGAAGAGCAGGAAAGTGCCTGACATGACTGACATGGTGGGCAGGCCCCATCTGGCAGAGCCCCATAACCGCAACCCCAGTGCCAAGCACTGAGATTCAGACAAATCCGTGTTCTGTTCCGACCTAGTTACTCAACTCAAGGTGCCAGTTAGGTTTGCTCCTCCTTGGAAGAGACCCACCCACAGCAGGAAACTGGGAAATCAGTTCCCTGGTTACCAGAAATGTTACAGGGAAGCTACAATTTCACCTTTTCTCTGCCAGCCACCCCAGCTCGCACTTCTGCGACTTACGCAGACTCAAAACTTCTGATTTTCATTCTGCTTTTATCTCTCTTTTGAGGGTTTATGAAGAGCCTGGGAATATTCCTGGGAAGATTGTAAACTAACATAAAGATATCAAAAAATTATTTTAAAATACCTAAAAGGGGAGCCGGGGAGATAGCTCAGTAGAATAAGCGCTTGCCTGGCAAGCACAAGGGCCTGAGTTCAATCCCTGGTTCAAAAAAAAAAAAACATAAAAAGGAAAAAAAGAAAGAAAAAGAAAAGAAAACCTAAAAGGTAGAATTGGGTCCTCTTCCTTCAGGATGGCTACACGTAAATAATCAATCTTATATAATAACCACCCCCAGGATAAAAACTGGAAGCCCATTTCATGGATGAAGAAAAAGGAGAAGCAGAAAATTGCCTGTAGCATGAAACAATTATGGAGCAGAGCCAGGATCCAACACAGGTCTGTCTGGCTCCACTCCCTGGAAAGTGTTTCTCCTTTATGCCCACAATGGCTGCCAGGTGGTTGCTATTGTTAAGTCTATTGTGGTCTGGAAAGGTTAGGAGGTGCATCCAAGCTCACATGGCTGATGAGTAGTGCAGAAAACAGGATCCCACGCCCATCTGGAACTCCAGGGCCTGCGCTTACAGATACTGTTTTAACTCAGTTGTTTTGTTTGTTTCAACAGCCAGCAAAAGATTCGGCCAGATTCCTTCTCGAGCTGTCTTTCCCGCCTAGTCTGTCACCAACCCCCTGCTGCACACGCTCCAGATTCTGGTGGTTTTTCAAATAAGAGATCAAATCCAGCTCCTCCCCAGCGCTGAGCCTTGCGGGAAGGCCCCGCGCTCCACCTGGAGAGCCCGGTCTCCACCCCTCCTTCCCGCTCAGCCCTAGATCCTCTGCTTGCTCCAAGTCTGGCTTTCGCGGCTGCCTCAGGCTTCCCTTTCCACCCAAATCGGCCTCTTCTGTTGTCTCTCTCGCCCTTGTTTTTCGCATCAGGGTTCTCACAGCAACTTTAACTTTTAGTTTTCCCCTTTTACTTGCATTTTGTCTTTCTCCCTAGAACGTAGGTTCATGAGGGCAGAAATGTCTGTCTCCTTCACTGACATATTCCTAGCACCCAGAACATGCCAGGAATTAGCAGGCACTCAGTAAATATTTGCTAGGCTATAATCACTAGAATCTGCAAATTTGTCTGTAGAAGAAAGCAAATGCTTTTCAACCCCAAGGTCTTCAGTGTTTTTTTTTGTTTGTTTGTTTTTTTAAATTTTTTATTTGTGTGTGTGTGTGTGTGTGTGTGTGTGTGTGTGTGGCCAGCTTAGCCCACCAGGGGGCGGCCCCGGCTGGCATGTGGTGCTGGGGGATTGAACCGCGGTCCCTTTCCTTTGCTGAGTTTGTTCTAAGTAGGTGCTTTAGACCACTGAGCCATCTTACCAGCCCCTTGTTTGTTTTTTTTTTTTAAAGCCATAGTTCTTCAACTTCTGACTATGAGAGGTAAGTTAGGTAGCAAGCATAGCCTCAGAGTCCCCATAGGGAAGCCCACCCGGAGGCATCACCCACAAATCACACAGACCAGAGGCCACGGGTCTCTGGCCAGCCCCACGCAGATTCCTTCCAGCTGCTTCTCCGCAGAGCAGAGGGAGTCAGGAAGGCCAGGTCTGCGCTCCAAAACCTGCTCCTGCTGGGCCCCCCTGCATGCCTCTGTGCTCCTTAGATGGTTTTCAGTCTTCCTCATCCACCCCATTTTACCCATAAGGTGACTCAGGTTGAGAGCAGTGAAGTGATTCTCTGAGAGCCACATGGCTACCTAGGCGAGTCGCTGTCTGGCATTCTTCTGTGGCTCCTCAGCACCTTGGAAACGAGCTCGAGGCTCCTTAGCAGGTGCCAGGGAAGGCGTCTCTCCTTGAACTCATTACATCCAAAGCTCTGAGGGACTTTGTGCCCTCCCCACACAGAACTGGGCCAGCACGGTGCACCTGGGCTTCCAGGGCTGGCATGGCATGCGGTACTGGGGATCGAACCTGGGTCCTTACACTTGCCATGCAGGCACTTAGATGGCCAAGCTATCTCCCCAGTCCTATAATGAGTTATTTATGATAGCAGAAAGTTCAAAGCAAACTAAATGCTAAAAAAATAGGACGTGTTTTTAACAAATTATGATATCTCCCTATGTAGAGTATATTAATACAGTTATGCTTCTTTTAAGCTTTGTTTGTTAACTTGTTTTCTTCTCTTTTTTTGGATTGCTGGCAAATAGTCTCAACCAGATCACTATAAATTGATTCTCAGTCAGGGTACGAAAGAGGACTGCTGCCACTCTACTGCACCAAAATTGATGGGCATGGGGCCGCGGAGCTGGATCAGTGGAATAAGTGCTCCCCTGGCAA